CATTCTCAAGAATAAATTATTACCGTGATTAAAAGCAATGTGTTGACTTACCTGGAAAATATCTGTCTTGTCTTCAAATAGACTGACAACATATTTATAGTCAGCATAAGCCCAGAATTTGGAATAATCATAATCTATAAATGGTCCAGAAATACTAGAGTGATCACAGTTCCAGGTCAGAAACTCTTCAAGTGTAGCTTCTACGTAACTACATGAAGTTTCAAACTGAGGAACTGCAAAGTAAGAGAACCCAACTTTAAATGTATTTGAAACAGTTTCCAAAATTGTTTTTTAAAAAATATTTTCAACCAAAAATGTTAACTATAATTTCAATTAATTAAAAATTAACTTGGCACTTGCTATATAATTAAAATTCCTTACAACTTTCACAATGCTATTGTGGTACATATATACAATGGAATATTACTCAGCCATAAGAAAAGATAAAATACTGTCATTTGTGACAACATGGATGAGTTTTGAGAATATCATGTTAAGCGAAATTAGACAGGAAAGTCAGGAACCATATGAATTTAACCGAATGACCGAACACAAGAACAACCATCCAGACAACATTCCCGAGACAACCACGATGACACGCACTGGCACCAGGCCAGCCAAGGTGGGTGCGATATGATTGGTTAGGGAGTTCACTATCGCCCCACAATTGCCCCATAGAGGGAGGCCCAGGACACCAGCCAGTGAGGCGATCAATAGGGGGGCTCTGTGATCACCCCAAAGAAGGAGGCCCAGGCCACCGGCTGGGGGGCGATCAATAGGGGGGCTCTGTGATCACTCCAAAGAGGGAGGCCCAAGCCACCCTCTGCAGGGCGATCGATTGTGAGGGCTCTCGGAACCGGGGAACCTGGGGTGTGTGGAAGCAGATACAGGCAGCACCAGGCCAAGGTGGGTGCAGGCAGGGTGCCGGGCCACGAAGTAGCCAGGGTCTAAGGCAGCCGGGGCTACAAGACACCTGGGGCCTGGAGGCAGCCAGGGCCATGAGGGTCCCGGCAACTGGGGCTTCGAAGGCCTACTCAACATTTAAAAAAAAGAGTAGAATCTTTTTTTTGTAAAGCAACAAATCTTGAGTATATGCTTATGTGCTTATAAATGAAACAAAAATATTTTGGAGGGTCCACAACAAACTTAACAGTGGTTACTGGTAGAAATAGAATTGAGAGGGACAAGAAACTTTCACTTTTTATTATACAGATGTGTTTTATTATATAGACATTTACATAGTTTAAATTTTGCATAAATAATTAGATTTATCACCGAAGCCGGTTTGGCTCGGTGGATAGAGCGTCAGCCTGTGGACTGAAAGGTCCCGGGTTTGATTCCGGTCAGGGGCGTGTGCCTTGGTTGCGGGCGCGTCCCCAGTGGGGAGTGTGCGGGAGGCAGCTGGTCGATGTTTCTCTCTCATCGATGTTTCTGAC